GGGATTGTACCCCGAGCTCATCCCCTGTACAGCTGGCTTAGCTCTGAAGCTGGGCACTTGACCCAGCTCAGGAGCTGCGCCATTCATTTGGTCGTTCGTTCGTTCTTTCACTTAGATATTTAGTAAGCACTTCATATGTGTTGGGCTTTGTTCTAGACCCTGGGCACATGGGGCTTGGTGGTCAACAAGACTACAAAGAATGGGCACCCTCACTGGGGAGATGGCCAGACTAAATGTAAAGCAAAGTGTTAAGAGTATCCTGAAGGAGTATGTGCTAAGGACAGAAATAAAAGGGTTTAGGGAGTGAGAAGGGGGGGGACAGTGGCTAGAGTTTTCAGCCAGATAATGAGAAAAGGCTTCAAGGAGAAGGGGGCATTTGAGCAGAGCGGGAGGGAAGTGAGCCTTAGGGGACTGAGGGAAGCATCCCAGGCAGAGGGATCAGCCCAGCCACCCCAGCCTCTCTCAGACCAGTTAGAAAGTGGAGGTGTCTTTCTCATTCCCTCCCCTCTCACCCCAGATGCTCTCAGTCTGGTCCAGAGCAGCCCTGGACACTGGGAGGAGCCTGGGGTGCCGGCCAGGGTCCTGCCCCCAGCTCCCCGTGAACTGAGCACTGTCGTGCACAGACTGCAGACCACCTTCCAAGAAGCCCTGGACCTTTACCGCCTGGTGAGCCCAGCCCCGGGGCCAGGGGAGAGGGCTGGGTGGCTCCCCGGGACTGCCGGGGCTGGGTGGCCCCTGACAAGGTTTGTACCCCTTGCAGATGGTCTCCAGCGACCAGGTGAGCACTGAGCAGCAGTGGCAGGCACGGACTGAGCTGGCCTCCACCTTTCTTTGGATCCATAACCAGTTAGAGGCCAATGACTGGCTGGTTGGGACTGACGTGGCCCAGGCCCAGGGCAGCCCGGGTTCCCCCTCCCCGACTACACTGTGCCCCCTGGCCAGCCCAGATTTGCATGCCCTGCTGGAACACTACTCGGAGCTGCTGGTGCAGGCCGTGCAGAGGAAGGTGCGGGGGGACTGAGGGCCAGCAGCCTCCTCTCCACGCCAGCCCTGCTGCTTCTGAAGAGATCGGTGTCTTAAGCAAATAAACTGACAGCTTAGAGGAATGGTTCCTGGTGCCTGTCGGGGCGTATGCACGAAGCTCCCTCAGGTGGATGCGGGGAAGGAGGGTAGGGTGGACAGCAGTGTTGTGTTGGACCAGCCTGGGGAACGTGGGTGGATGAACTTTGCAAGGGATGAAATTTGTATGCAGCAGGTTTTGGCCACGTAGCATTGTACCCTCACCTGCTCTTCCTCTTCCTGTCTCACCTGGGGGACATCAGCCCCAGTGCAGGACTCCGTCAATGGGACCAACATTCCCAAGAAATTAGGGACCTGCAATAATGATGATCCCAACACCTGGATGCCATGTCGTCCATCCCCCCTGAGCTGCTATGGGGTCAGTTGGGGTCCTGGCCCAGTGGGGCCCAGCTGTTCCCCAAGGAGGGGCCAACCCTTCCTCCCTGCCCCCTTACTGGTGCCCAAGAACCCACTGGAGCCACTGCCATCACCATGTGCCAGACCCTGGCTCCCAGGACAAACACTGCCACCCCACTGGTTCGGGGCCCCCAGGCCAAGCCCAGGTTGGATCCTATGAGGTCCAGGCTTTTGTCCCCACCTACAGCAGGGGAAATTGAGGAGAGACCAGCAACTCAGTGACTGGACAATCGGGCAGCATGCCCAGGCCATCCAGCAGCTGGGACAAGTAATTCTCTCCCCAGCAGGAAGATTCTATCCAGATTCATCCCATGAGCTCCCAGCTGTGGTAGCAGCTTCCCCAGGCAGCCGGCATCTAGCCATGTGGCATGTCTGCCAAGAAGGCCACTCTTGTGACCACAAAAGCCCCCACTGTCCCAATTCTCTATAAAAAGGAAGCCGGCAAGGGAGGGCCTTCCCCTGAACCACAGCCCCACCGTGTGGCTTGCTGTGGCCTCAACCACCACTTGCCTGAGTCCCTCTCTGCTCCGTCGGATGGTCACGGCCCACCAGAAACAAGCCCAGAGAGATCCAGCCTTGCTCCGGATCCCACACAGCTGGGACTCAAACCCAGGCTTGCCTCGTGGCAGAGCCAGACCATTCAGCATAAGGCCATGGCCCTCTGCTGTCTCTTGAAACACTAACACACATCACAACCAATGGTGCTGTTCAAAAAGTCCCGCGGGGTTCCTGTCTGTCGTACATGCTGGGGGTAGTGGGAGGAACAAGACCAGCAAAGCATCTGCCCTCGTGGCATTAGCCTTCTAGAGAGCAAAACAGGAACTGAAGCAGTATCTGTGGAACTGTAGGTAAGCTAAGGGAGTTCATTGTGCTGGTTGATGAGCCAGGGAAGGCCTTTCTGGGGTGACATTTGAGCTGAGGCCGGAGAGAAGGCACAGGCCATGTGGACATCTTGGGAAGATATCCGGGCAGACAGAGCAGCCAGTGCGAACACCCCGCTGGGGGGATCAAACATATATGGAAGGAATGGAGTGAGCTAGGAGAAAGGGTAAGAGAGAAGATGGAAGAATGGGGTTCAAGGGGGCAGGGCCTTGTTGCTTCATGACATTTAAATCCAAGAAATATTCACAACACAATTTTCCCCCCTAAATAAGATGCCTGATCTTGGTAGCTAAGGAGATGCCCAGTATTGTTTATTTCTCAGAGGCCCTGCCCCTGCCCTGCCCCACAGGTTACAGACCCCTGGGGACCCTCTCTCCTTGCCCCTGCCTTGCCTGGCCACCGAAGATCCTTGAGGCAAGGCTTGGCATCCAGGCCCCTGAATACCCAGAGGACCATATTGAGCCTTTCCCTAGTGGAATGTACCCCTCCTCCCACCCTGTATCATAATTAAGCCTTCAGGGGCGCCTGGGTGGCTCAGTCGGTTAAGCGTCTGCCTTTGGCTCAGGTCATGATCTCGGGGTCCTGGGATCGAGTCCCACGTTGGGCTCCCTGCTCAGTGGGGAGTCTGCTTCTCCCTCTGCCCCTAACCCTGCTTCTGCTCCCTCTCTCTCAAATAAACTTTTAAAAAGTCTTCAACGCACAAGTAGCAAATGGCTGGCTTGTGGGGGCCCACGCTGCAGGGACATTTATTACTCTTGCTTATGTTCCTGGCCCCGTTACCTTCTGAGGCTGAGTTCCACCCCCCAGCTTAGGCCCTCAGAGCTGCAACATGGCTGCCATACCGGCACTTGGGCAGTATGCTCTCAGCTAACCAGGAGCAAAGGCCCGAAGGAGGGCAGCTGCCAGGGTAGTAAGAAAGGTGCTCAGCCTTCCTAGACGCTTCTTTCAGAGCAGTTGTAGGCAAGAATGGAGATGGCTTTGATTCACTTGGACCAACCATCTTTCCTGTCCTGACCATATCGCTGTTCAAACAAAATTGGGTTCTCTCAGCACAAGAGGGTGGGCTGGTAGAGAGGACCCAGTGTGTCTGCCACTCTCCACTTCTTAATGCTAAGCTCTTCTGCCCTGGAAAGACCAGAATCTCTCCTCCGACAAACTGGCTGGTTAAGAAACCACTGCTGATGAATGTGTGCGCATGCGGGTTGTGGACCCACAGGGCCCCAGCAGGAAGAGGACAGAATGCTCACACAGGATGTTTCAAAGAGAGTTCAGTGAAGGGATCTTTTACAAAGAAGTGGGCAGGGGATAGGGAAATCCTAGGGCCCCTACGGTATCCTGGACTGGTCCCAGAGAAGAGCTGTTACTCCCACCCTAGCCTTGAGCTGTAGATACAAGGGAGCAAAGTGGGACCCAGAAGAGCCAATCCTGGAGAGAGGGCTGCCGTGAGGGGAGCTGTGTGCCTGGCAACTTCATAGGGAGAGAGTTGGAGAAATCCTCTCCCCCATCTTCTGTGGGGCTCCCCATTGTCGAAATCCTATTGGGAGCGAGGGGGTACGGGAGGAGTGGGACAGAAAGGGTATGGGGACAAAGACCCCCAGCCCTGAATTTCTTCCCTAATGTGTTTTCAGTAACACAGGAACCACTTGCCCCAAGAGACATGGTGCTGGGCAGGGAGAACTGGGCACGGGGAAAGAGACAAGATGGCTCCCGCTAACCGTTTGCCAGCTCATTCTTCAGTGCAACTTCCGCCCTGTACTCCCCCGCTGGACCGATCCTAGATACTGGGCTGCCAGACCTGTGCTGCACACACCAGTCACAGGTGCATGAAATCCAACAATTGTGAGATGGAGACACTTCAAACACTTTTTAAAGAACTTTATTTTTTAAAGATTTTATTTGCTAGAGAGAGAGAGAGTGAGCGCACAAGCTAGGGGAGTGGCAGGCAGAGGAAGAAGCAGGCTCCCTGCTGAGCAAGGAGCCCAATGTGGGGCTCCATCCCAGGACCCTGGGATCATTACCTGAGCCAAAGACACATGCTTAACTGACTGAGCCACCCAGGTGTCCTGACACTTACCACTTACAGATGGACCGACTGAAACTCACATGCTTGCCTAGCCACCCCTCAAGACTTCCTAACAACCACCCTGTTTATATGCTGCATGCTAAGCGCTCTCCCCACATGATCTACATGGATCTTTGACACAAACCAGTGATAGGGAGACACATTAGTCCCATTTTCCAGATGAAGAAACTGAGGCTAAGCAAGAAGTGACTTGCCTGGGTTCTGCAGAGATAAAGTGGCAAAGCTCTGGGCTAACAGACTCTCAGTCCCGCCTCCCTTGCTGCCCCAAATGAATCAGCAGGACTGACTCTCAGGGAGTGTGAAGAAATGAAGAAATAATGCTTCTCTCACCACCAAGCCTTTGTGTAGACTGTTCCCTCTGCCTGGAACACCCTCCCCTTTCACCTGAAACCTCATCTTCCTTCAGGGCTACACCCAGCAGTCATCTCTGAACCTTTAGGCTGGATCAGGAGCCTCTTCTGGGCTCCTTTGAGCCCCCTGGGTTTTCTCTGTTGCAGTTGGGATCACTTTGCCTGTGCATCCCCCATCATAGCTTTGGTCATTCTGCACTGTTACTGGCGTGTCTCCCTCATGGGCTAAGTTATATGTTCATTTTTAGTGCTGAGCTAGGCCTGGCCCATAGTTGGAGCTCAGGAAGTCGCTGACTGGATAAATGAGAGGAAGTAACTGCACAGAGATTATTCAAAATCCTTAACCAGGGGTTAAGAGGTCAGACAATGATCAATCTAGAACACAGACTCGCTTGAATGTAGGGGTGGGGTTCTGGGAGCCCCTGGCTGTGTCAGGTGACCCCCTTTGGCTCCTGGACTGTGGGAGAGTGGGGAAGTGGTGTCCCAGGCAATCACTAGGAGCTGGACTATTAACACACCAATATTCTAATACCTGCTACAACTGAACAGTGTTTCTGGCTGAACATCAGCTCTGGGCATCTGAAAATCAGAGAGGTAGAGCTTCCTGTTGTAAGATGCATAGCCTATATCCTCCCCTTGTCCTTCCCTACTGCACTGTGCTGTCTCTCCACCCTCTGGAGCAAGCAATCACAGCCACTCCTCACCCCCGCTTCCTCAGACAGCTGCTGTGATTTGAATAACCAAACAGGCTGTTGGATGTCCGGTTGGTAACTGATTTGCCTGGCAAACAGACCCTCAGGTCCTTAGCCCTGCTACTTTAAGAGGACAGCCTCCCTGCAGTCTTTCCTTTTTCCCACTCCCAGGAGCTAAGCTTCAATCTTGCCCTTGCTTGGTGTTCTCGGGGGTCCTAGCGCTTGGCCGCCCCTGGTGGCTGGAGAGTGCCCTCAGGAACCTGGTGTAGGAGAAGGGGGAGGAATGGTGGGTCCCGAGGCAAAGGTAACTGGAGCCAGCTAAGTCGGCTCCCTGGGCTGGTCACAAAATTTGCATGGAGAGAATGAGTCTCCTCCAGGGCTCCCCCCTCCCTCCCTCCCTTCCCCCTCCAGTCATCCTGGGGCTGAGGTGTGACTGTAGGTGGAAGAAGCAGTCGTCTGTGTGGGGCCATCTCACCATTCCTGGAGGTGATGCCCCGTGCCTTCCTGGTCAGGAGTCGGCATCCACAGCCACCCAACTGGGGCCACCTGCCTGATCAGCTCCAGGGAGATGCCTATGTCCCAGGTGGGCCCCTCACTGGGCCTGGAGGTGAGGGGTAGGTGAGACACAAAGCATCACCGTCTGGCTTCTCTCCTCAGACTGCAGCAACCAGCAGGGCCCTCCAGCACACCAGTCTTCTGGCCTCGGAGACCCTTGGGTAGCGGTAAGTCTGCAGCTGGACCACAAAACCCTGCTCAGTTTCATCCCTGCCCACTCTCAGCCTCAACATAACCTGACTGCCCCTTACTTCCCAAGCCCATTGCACATGCCCCTCCAGCCTCAGGACCTTTCCACTTATTGTTCTCTCTGCTGGGAATGCCTTTCCTTTCTTAGTAGAGCTCACCGTTCGGCTTCATCCCAGGCACCATTTCCCTAGCGTGGGCAGTCACATTTCCTATCCCAAGATCCCTCCGTCCAGTGGGGCAGAACAAGATTCAAGCCAAGTGGATGGCGATTTCCTTTTTTTTTTTTTTAAGGTTTTATTTATTTATTTATTTGACAGAGAGAGACACAGTGAGAGAGGGAACACAAGCAGGGGGAGTAGGAGAGGGAGAAGCAGGCTTCCCGCTGAGCATGGAGCCCGCCCGACACAGCCTCAATCTCATGACCCTGGGACCATGACCTGAGCCAAAGGCAGCCGCTTAACGACTGAGCCACCCAGGCGCCCCTGGCGATTTGCTCTATGTCAGACCAGAAAAGGTGACAGGAGCAGGATGGGAAGACTGGGGGTTCTCAGAAGGGATATTCAGCTGTGCATGCCCTGGAAGAAGGAAAGCACTAGCCAGAATAGAAATGTGACTGCAATTATTTCAGTATTTGTTCAAAGCCAGGAAGTGTTCTAGGCAATGGAGATTTACCAGGAATAAGACAAAAATTCCATCCTTCCTGGAGCTTATAATCTGGTGGGGGCTACAGGGATAGACAATAAAATTAGAAAAATCTAGTTACGGGGTGCCTGGGTGGCTCAGTCATTACGCGTCTGCCTTCGGCTCAGGTCATGATCCCAGGGTCCTGGGATCGAGCCCTGCATCGGGCTCCCTGCTCCACGGGAGGCCTGCTTCTCCATCTCCCGCTCCCTTTGCTTGTGTTCCTGCTCTCGCTCTCTCTCTGTCAAATAAATAAATAAAATCTTAAAAAAAAAAAAAAGGAAATCGCCATCCACTATGTTACGTAACTATGTTACGTTGGAAGACGTGCTATGGAGAAATATAAAGCAAGGTAAAGGCAACGGGGAAGGGTCAGGGAAGGCCTTTGCACACACGAATAGCAGCCTTCCCAGCCCTCCTTGGTTCCTGGTTCTAGGTATTCCATTTGCTCCGGCCGGGGGGTCTAACTCCCATGTCCCTCCCACAGCCCATGCAGGGCAGGCTGGCCTCCGCTCCCGGGGGCCTGGGGACACTTGGCTGCCTGCTCTGCCTCAAGGCCTTCCCTCTGCAGCGCATGCTGACGCGACACCTCAAGTGCCACAGCCCCGCGCGCCGTCACGTGGGCCACTGTTGTGGTAAGGGCTTTCACGATGCCTTCGACCTCAAGCACCACATGAGGACTCACACCGGTGAGGAGGGGCAGGGGCGGGGCAGGGCGGCTGGGCCCCAGGGAAGTCTGGAATGAAATGGGAGAGAGGTGCCCAGGATGTTCCAGCGTTTGTGTTCATGGGGTGAAGACTCAGCCATCAGGCGGCTTGGAACACCTCCTACTTAGGCCCCCAGCCACTGGGTGCTAAGGTGGTGCCAGGGTGGAGGCCTGCTGAGGGGTGCAGCGTGAAGACAGTAGTGGCTACAGGATTCAGGTCCTAGACGGAAGGGTGCAAGGAAAAGCCTCCCTCCTCCTCCTGGGGAAGGAATATCCTGATGAGCAGGTGGGGAACACAGGCGTCTGGCCCACATTTGCACTGGGTGGAGGTAGCACATGGTGGGACACAGGCAGAGTCTGGACACCTCGGAGCAGGAATGCAGGAATGCTCATGGAGGGCAAGGTGGAGAGGCTTTGGTTTGGAGGCCATTGCCCTGTCTGTCCTCCTCCCCTCCCCCCCGCCGCCCTTCTGCACAGGGATCCGGCCATTCCGCTGTGGAGCTTGCGGAAAAGCATTTACACAGCGCTGCTCACTGGAAGCTCATCTTGCCAAGGTGCACAGGCAGCCGGCCAGCTACGCTTATCGTGAGCGCCGTGAGAAGCTGCATGTGTGCGAGGACTGCGGCTTCACCTGCTCGAGGCCGGACGCCTACGTGCAGCACCGCGCCCTACATCGCGCTGCTTGAGAATGTGCATCTCACACAACCCACGGGAGGCAAATAAACGCAGGAAATGCACGCACAAAACACAGAATTTATTACACATAGGAGAGAACAGTTCACTCGGTCCAGCGGTGGCCACAGTGTGGGGCCGTGCACACGTAGTACAAGCGCATGGCGTCCTGCCAGAAAGGGTGCACGGTTAGGAAGGGCCTGCACCCCATGGATGTGTACGACACACCACCTCCATCCAGCAGAACCGCACCCCAAGATAATAGGCAAAGGGGCCTTCCCCACTGGTAAGGGTCCCCCCCAATACTGGTATCCCTGCCCCCGGGGAGGACCAACCCTGGGACACGCAGAAAGCCTTCCTCCTGTCGCTCACCTCGGCCCGGGCACTATGTGACTGGAAGAACACCGCCTCCTTGTGGCCACACCTGGGAGGACAGTCAGCCACTCAGCCAACCATACCCTTCCCTCCTCCCTTCACCCAGTGAGGACGAGCCACTCTCCATCCCCAATACCAACAGCGCGCTCTCACTTTTGGCACGGGTGGTCCTCGGTCCGCGGCAACGTGGGGTCCTGGGACACGTCAGCGATGATCTGGGTCAGTTCGCTGAGGGAATAGAAGGTGAATAATTATGCCCAGACCAGGCCTTTCCCAAGCCAACAACCCCGTCCCCCGGCTCTAGTGCTGCCACTCACTCCACTTCGTGCGTGATCTTGTTGACGTAGATGCAGCTGTTGTCGGCTTCCTGCTGGTAATCACAATTCCGGCACTACGAGAGGGCGAGTGTGGCGGGGAGGGGGTCATGGAGAGATCCGGGAAGCGACTGGAAGGGAAGGCTGGGTCTTCCCCGGAGGGAATGACTAGAGCATGGAGTCTCGAAGTTGGGAGAACGGGGTATATTGAGAATCACTTCGGGGATGGGCAATACAAGAGAGTAGGGTTCACTCGGGGGATAGGAGGCGAGACCAAAAGGCGTAGGAGGCGTAAAAAGGAGTAAGGGTCACGTGGAGTAGGTTGGGGGCACACTGGGAACAGGTGGACCGTTCTGGGAAGACCCGGGCACTGCGCAGACTCGTGCTCACCGCGTAGAGCAGAATGCGGTTCTCCTTGTCCTCCTTGGGGTAAAGCATGTTGTTACTGTGGGAGGGAGAGGTCAGAGGTCAGTCCTGGGGCCATTACTTGCTTCCCTTACACACTCGCAGGCCCAGGCTCACCATTCCTGGCAGAATCGAATACCCACGAAACCCGGCTCGTAAGTACCGTCTGGCTCCATAGCTACGCACTGCCCGCCAAGCAAGCCTTCCGCACTTGCTCCGCCGCGCGACCGGTCGCGGGAAGGGTCAAGCCTAGTTGCTTCGCCAAGGGAGGGGCGGAGCTACGAACACATACTGTCCCCCTGGGCTTTGTGCTTGGCTCTGCGCCGAGGTTCGATTAGTAACTTGCTTCAGTTTTTTGATATCCTGCGGTAATTGGCTCCAACTTCTGAGCCTCGCTTCCCCCGTTTGTAGAATAGCATGGTACGAGAGCCAGGAATACGATGCTTTACGTAATATGCAAGGCCGGGAGCATAAATGAAGCTATTGCTTTTTGCTGGCTGCACATGCGCGGACGAGGTAACTCTTGCCAGTCCTTCCTGTGGGCTTCAGCCTTCTCTCGCCCGGGCAGTTTCCCGGGCGGCTATTGGAAGAACTAGGCACCATGGAAGACCTCTCAGGATTGGCTGGGCCTACCCACGAGTACGGGAGAGCCCGCTTCCTGGCGTGGAAAAGAGACGGCGACGATTGGCGGACCCTGTTTGCGGGAGAGCATGGATTGGCCAGGTCGGGAGCAGAGGGAGGGGCTGATATCCCAGAAGCGGCGGCGGCGGCTGCGGAGCTGGTGTGAGGCGACTGACCGGGCTGCGGACCCCGGCAGGGTGTGGCGAGATGGAGGTGACGGGCTTGTCGGCGCCCACAGTGACCGTTTTCATCAGCAGCTCTCTCAACAGCTTCCGCTCTGAAAAGCGGTACAGTCGCAGCCTCACCATCGCTGAGTTCAAGGTGTGGCCGTGGGGGCGGGGTCCGGAGGGCGGGGCGTAGGGTTTGAGGGGGCGGGGCAAAGGAGAAATGGAGGGGCTTCCCGAACGCGGGGAGGGGCGGGGATCAACCGAGGTTGAACAGATTGGGGACTGGGCCTCGGAGGGGCGGGGCTAGAGGGAACCTGAGGTTCCAGAAATTGGGGGCGAAGCCAGGGGAAATCACAGGTTGCATAGGGCGTGGCCAGGGATAACCAGGTGGGTCCTAAATGGTGGGTTTCTTGGAGGAGCAAGGATGGGATGATGGTTGTTACAAGGGGTGGAGCTTAGGGGCGCCTGGCTGGCTCCCCTGGTAGAGCTTGCGATTCTTGATCTCCGTTCGTGAGTTCGAGTACCGCGTTGGGCGTAGGGTTTACTTTAAAAAATATAAAAATATATAAATTTGCAAGTACATACCTTAAAAAAAGAAAAGGGGTGGAGCCTCAGGGCGGAGGTGGGGCCGCTAACAGCCTTCCACCGGCTGCTCCCTGCGCAGTGTAAACTAGAGCTGGTGGTGGGCAGTCCTGCTTCTTGCATGGAACTGGAGCTGTATGGACCTGACGACAAGTTCTACAGCAAGCTGGATCAGGAGGATGCACTGCTGGGCTCGTACCCCGTAGACGACGGCTGCCGCATCCACGTGAGACGTCCCTTCCATTCATTTATTTGTTGAACAAATACTTGCTGTACGTTGTTCTGTGTGATAACCAAGATAGGCCCTCCTCTCATGGAGCCCCCAGTTCAGCAGGGAGAGAGACAGAGCCATCACTGGACAGTGACAGCCAGAGTAGTCTGAACTGGGCTGGGAAAAGCCCAGGGAATTGGGGGCCCTCAGAGAGGTACCTGACTCCTGGAAGTATCAGAAGAGGCTTCCTGAGAGGTGGGATGCCTGAGCTGAGACCCGAAGGATGAGGAAAGGGCAACTTAGGATAAGGGGTAGGAGGAGCATGCCAGGTGGAGGGAACAGGGTACAGAGGCATAGTTTGAGGTGGGTCAGGGTGAGTGATGAGACTTGGATGCGTTGGGAGAAGTTGGAACACAGAGGACCTCTGCATGCATCAACTCACATCATCCTTTCTGTCCCCGCCCTCCCCCCGGCGCCCCTTACTCTTCAGATATCCCAGCATCCCAGGTGACCTCCACCTCAGGGCTTTTGCAAGTGCTATATACCCTAAGCCTGCATGGTTCTTTTTTATATGGCTTCACATGGCTCACTCCACCCTTCCTCACACACTTGGAGGGTGTGAAGCCTTCACTGACCTCAGTATAAAATTTAAATCTCCTCTCTTTGCCACTTTACTTGGTTTTTGTCCTTAGCTCCTAGCACCCAGTGACATACTGTGCATTTCCCCCAGCACCTGGAATAATGCCTAGTACAGAGAAGATGCTCAGTGAATCATTGTTGGATACTGACCTGAATCCGTAAAATAAGACTTGGAAGATGGTGTGATTAACCCCATTTTGCACAAGATAAAACTTAGCTTCAGGATGGAATTTATTTTCCTAAGGATGAACTATAGTTAGAATTTTCGCCTCAATCTGCATGACCCTGGAAGTCACTGTGCTCAGAGAACTGGTTCTTTGTTACCTCTTAAGTGTTCATTGAGCATCCGTGTTATGCCGGGGCTATAGCTGTGAGCCACGTGTGACGAGGTCTCTGTTTTAGCTCTGTCCAGTGTGCGAGGTAGATGTTAGCTAAACATTCACAGGAACAAATATGAAATGTCAGAGACACGAGAGCCATATAGGAAGAGCTCACAGAGCTGGGAGAGCTGACACTGGGGGAACCTGACCTATCAGTGAGGTCTGGGAGGACTTCCTGGAAGAGGTGATGCCTGAGCAGAGACCTGGAAAATAGGAAGAGTTAACTGAGGAAAGGAAAAGAATACTCCAGGAGAAGGGCACAGCATGTGCAGACACTGAGGTGGAAGGGAGCACAGTTAAGTACAAGGACTGAGGAGTGGCCTCTCCTCTGGTGGACAGAAGTGGGAGCCAGGGGAGGCCTCTGAGCCAGGAGAGTCCTGGTCTGGCTCAGGTGTTCACAGGCTCCCTTTGACTGTGTGTGGGGAGCAGACTGCAGAAGACCAGAGGAGTAGGGAGACCAGGGAGGCGGCTTCTTCCATAGTCCAGGTGGTGCAGTGGGGCCTGGATCATAGTGGGCGTGGGTCAGGATAGTGCTGGGCCCCCAGGACTGAGACTTCGGGCTGACAAGTGGGCAGCCTCAGCCCCGGATGCTGGTGGGCCCGGCACGGGTCATGGCATCCTCAAACAGGAGGTTTTCACACATGGATTCAGCTGTAGACAGGCCTCTCACTCCTCAGGTCAGTTGAGGAAGGTTTCCTAGAGGTGGAACCTCTGGGGAATTTTTTTTTGTTTTAAATTCTTTTCCTGTTTATAAATATTCCCTGTATTTGAAGCGCCTGACTGGCTTAGTCGGTAGAACATGTGACTCTTGCTCTCAGGGTCGTGAGTTCAAGCCCCATGTTAGGCACAGAGATTATTAAAAATTTTTAAGTATGTATATAAAATATATTAACCTGTATTTGTTGCCTTAAATAATAGCCACCTCAAATTTACAAGATCCTTAATACAGAAAGTAGAAATTCTTAGTGATCCTGGCCAGAGAAAAGGGCCGTTTCTGTTTTGCTGTGTTAGCCCAGTGGCTCAGGCCAAACACCTAAGGGTCTTTGCTGACCCCTGTCTTTCCCTCTCATCTGTATCCAGTCTGTCTGCAAACCCTGTGGACTCCACCTCCGGAATCTATCTGGAGTCTACGCTCTTCTCCCGCACTGCGCCTGCCCTGTCCCAACCTCCATCTCACTCCTGGACTCCACAGCAGCCCTTCCTGGGGGAGGGGGGGCCTGCAGTATGCTCCCCACCTGCAGCCAGAAGGAGGCTGTGAGGCCCTGAGTCAGGTCAGGGTGCTCCTGGCTCAGAGCCTCCCTGGCTGCAGCTCAGTCTGGA